TATTCATTAGAACGGAAAAAAATTTTTTTTTCTAATTTCTTTTTCACAGTTGGCTCTTATCTAGCCTTCTCAAGCTCTGTTTTGGCTTAATGCCAAACAATTCTAAAGGCATGTGGGACTAAACCTTGTAAAGGCACTGTAGTGATTTTCAAAGAGATAAGAATAGATATGAGCTTAAAAAATACTTTTTGTAGACATAGTTAAAGGTAGACAGTACTTTGTCGGAAATAGCAAAACGCAAGGGGTGGTTCAGTGGCAGTGGTCAGCTGTGGCAGGCAGCGGACATTCTGCGTCAGTCCTCTTGTCTTTCCTTCCAGTTTGAAGTGAGATACACTTATATTAAGTCTCTAAGTGCTAGATTTGGCTTTACAATAATAAAATGTATTTCTTTAGTGTGATGGGCCTCTTATAGGACCTTGGTTTACCTGTTCCTGGATGATCTAGCAGCTAGGGAATTGTGCAGAGGAGGTAACTGGTTAGTACGTCAGCTGTGTGCATGGGCCATAACTGTTAAGTATGTGAGTATTTGCTGATTTGGTAAATTGTGTGGTTGAGGTTAATTGGTTACATCATGTCTTCTCTTTTTGCTATGATATGTTGAATTGTGATTTTGCTTTTTATGTACAGTTGTCAACAATTGATGTTTATCTAGTGGTTTTTGTTTTGCATTGGTTTCTTCTGTTTGTTCCTTAGGAGTAACTTCCACTTCCAACTTTATTTCAAGAGTGATTCCTATTAAATGGATCTGCACATTATTACTTAGTCATTTTTATCTTTACAATGAAAGAAATGTAACAGTAAATAGTAATTATGTGTTTAACAAACTTTAAGCATATAAACTAAGTTCCTTTCAAACATAAAAGTAATTAAATTTTCTTTAAAACCGTTTTCTTATGTGAGTTATAAGACTGTACCTTCAAAAGGACAAAATAGTCAAATTGGTAGGGAAAAATGGTATTTAGAGTGAGTTAAAGAAAGGACACACAAGTCTGGCGATTAGCCTGTGTTTTATTTTTCACTGGATTATATTGGCATTGTATATACATTATTTGGATGGAAGTTTTTTTGACCTATTTATTTTTTATCATGATGCAGCATATGCCTTAAACATAAGCAATTCCCTTGGCATCAACTATAAGCTGATTTCCAGTGATATTTAAACGAGTGGCTATAAAATATTTCTACTGGCATTTCCTTACTAGTTAGCAGCTGTTCCAACAGCCTCCAAACATCTATTTAGTAAGAAGTGATCTGCTTGGCAATACAGATTAATAGGAAAATGTGTACAAGGCTAAGAGTAAAAGTTTTAGGTGGATACAAGCACCTTGGTTCCTAATTAGAAAATTGTATAAACAGACAGATTTCCAGTAAGAATGTTAGCCTTCAGATGAATTCCACAAAGTATATTGAGTGTAGCTTAACATGTTTAATTTCAGACATTACCGACAGTAATCAGATAGAGATTTCAGAAAACAATTTATTCCATTTCAATGGAATTTCCATTTTACTAGCTATAATCTCAAATATGTAAATGGTAGCCAAAGCTGGATATGATGCTTCAGTTAAGAACTTTTTTTTTTTTTTTTTTTGCCCATTGTTTCTTCTAGCATCTTCTTGCCAAATCTTCTGGAGCGCTTGTAATTTCCTCTGTACAGAGCCCAACAGGCTCATCAGCAGCAGAAGGTAAACATAATAGATGTGAGGAATTTCTGGAGATTTATGAGGTTTAGTTTTTGAAATGTACACTCTGTCTGGCTATGCTAGTACACAGCCACATGTGGGCTCTATGAATTGAAAATGTTATAAATGGGGCATCACTTACCCCTTGTTAAGAATAAGGTTTAGGAACAAAAGATGTTTTCTGTGAGAGTATTTAAAGATTACTAGCTTCTGAACTACAGCAATGCATTAGCAATGAAAAGAAATAATGAATACTTTAAACCTTAAATTTTTATCTTGGAATTTTATATGGATTCATTTTCCCTTGGTTTAAATATATTAAAATTTTATCTTTCTGTACCTTCTTAAACTTCTCTGCCTTCCATTTATAATGGGGAAAAAATGCATATCAGCACAAAACATCCCAACAGTATCAGACAATTTCTAATGAAGACTATTGACACTCCTGACATTTGGCATTATATACTGCCAAAGAGGAAATTAAAAAGTACAAGCCATTATCCTAAAGCCCATCTGTTTATGAAAATAGTTAATTTCACATCACTTTGTTGTGCACCAAAATGACCCCTGGTGAAGGACAGGCTATGCCTCGCATATAATCATGATAGATTCATGACTTGTTAAAATGATCCTTTAACTTTTTTAGAGACTCTATTAATATTAATATTAATATTAGTCTGCTTTTGTGCTATAAGCATCTCAAGCACTAGAGTGCAAGTTATTCCTCTGTGCCAGGAACTTCTCTACATCCTCCTTTTTACATATATCCAGCTAGAAGAGGCTAGCACAGCATTAGTAGGCAAGCACAGGAAGGCCTCTTAGTGCTGCCGTGGCTTACCAGCGGGGTTGCCGGATGGTCGGGCTTCTAATCATGGATGTAATTTTGTCATGGCCTCACAAAACAGCATCATTTTCAAGGACTTACATAAATGATAGCATGGATCCTATGGAGATAATTATTATTAAGAACATCACTTTCACCTGAATCACCTTCTACAGAGTATTGGAAACAGGAGAAAGCTTTATCAAAGGCATGTTTAAATAAAAGCTTG